TAATAAAAAAAATGATCTTATTTGGATGAGGAAATGAAAAGGGTCCTCTGTGGAGTGGTTTATATAGAGGCAAGAATCAAGATATGAGGAGATGGGCCTTTCAGTTACAGCTTGTATACCACAACAAAGGAATCTCTCTCCAGCTCATGTTGTTTGTGTGAGAGAGAGAGAGATTGGGAGAGATGTGTGTATTATGAGGAGAGAGAAAGGGGACACGTGTCAGTGGAGTTAGAGACAGAGAGAGAGACTGAGGAGAGAGGATGTGGGTTGACTAGGACTGGTCTAGTCTAGTTAAGGGAATGGCTTAGTTTGAAAAGAGGTTCCAAGGAAACAACCTAACTGAATAAAATAAGAATGATAAATAACAATAATAAATAATAAATAAGTAAGTGAATAAATGAATAAATAAAATGGAAAAAAAAAATAATTAAAAAAAAAAGTTGAAGAAAGGCTAACATGGTGTATGGGGTTGAATTTTGCCCTCCGTACGTACCATCACTTTTAAACTTTAATTGATTGTGGTGTTGATTTTATTTTAGTTGGGGACATAATAATACATTGTGTATTTGTTGATTTTGTTCCAACGGAGAGACTATTAAACGAATTGGGCTCTTTTATTTAACGTCTTTTATATAACGAGACGAGCAGAGTTTAGTCGCGAATAACTTATTTTTTATATGTTGAATGAAACAGTTGAGTCAAACTTGATCGTGAATAGACAATTCATGTTCATGAACAACTCGTTTAAGAATTTAGGTTTATTAGATGAGTTGATTGGAGATTTCATGAATTTAAACGATACAAGTTCGACTAGAGCCTTTGACTCATTCATAAATAGCTTTTTTTTTTCATTTTTATTTTTTGTGAGTTTTAAAAAAATAGTCGAGCAGAACTTGTTCGCTTCATGTGACTACGTAGTCAATTATTAATGAACTTATAGTCAATTAGAGGATCGTATACGCGCCCATTTGTGAATGTAAATCCTACTATGAAGTTTCTTGCCTGATGATATGTTGAACTTAATTTGACTGGACTAATTAAGTGTTCTTATGCAAATCTGATTAATTCAAACTTGTATGGTTTGACATTTATTTAGATAATATGGTTTGACTTTTATTCAGACAATATTGTTTTTTCTTCAATTACATTTAAGAAGTTTTTTATGTATTTGACCTTGTCTTTATATTGTAAAATTGGATGTATGTCAATATTAAATTTGAACTATTTCGAGTGATCTTTTATGATATTTTGAAATAAAATTAAGAAAAGTATAACAACGCTTATTTATAAGCAAAAGGTTCAACTCTTTTTCCTATACTTTTGTATTCATTTTATAACAAATAAATTAAATGTAAGAATATATTTAGTAGATCGTAGTTGAAAGTTGATAAAAGTAGTCTTTTTAGTTAACAGAAAAGCTACCTAATTAATAACATAACTAGTATTCGGCATGTGCATTTGCACAGATATATAAATAAAATATTGCGAGTTATTTGTATGCATATAATGATTAATGATTTTTGCTAAATTTACAATTAAATGAGCTGAAATCTTTATTTTTTAAAAATACGTTTTTCATATTGGATGTAATGTATATTTTGGTATGTATCTTTTGTTGTGAATTATTTGTTATTTATTTAGGAATTTCAAATACGTTTTTTATTTCCAAAAGAAGTTAATTTAAATGTAACCACAACAATAACATCTACTCAAGTTAAATAGTCAACACATTATATGGTCAACCGTAAGTAAATAAAAAATTTAAAATAATTTTTGTAATTTTGAAGTGATTAGTGTTTTGATATCTAATAATTAAATGAGAGGTTAAATAAATAAGAAATAACAATTTTTCGATGAAAAAAACTATATTGCCACATAGGTATAATTTAATAAGTTTTATTAAATACTAATGAGCCAGCAATTATACATATATATATATATATATTTAGGGTAATGAGATTTGCAAAAAATATTGGATATTTAATATTTAGTTTTTATTACAGTTATGAAATGAGAAAGAATATGGCATAGTTGATTTGACCGACTATAAATAATATTTATTTTTTATGAGTGATGAGATTTGCAAAAAATATGAGATATTTAATATTTAATTATTATTAAAGTTATGATATAAGAAAAAAATATGGGATGTTGATGCTTGGAATTTATATAAAGAATTTTTTAAAATTTTGGATTCCCGCATCTTTTTTTCAGATTTTCGCCTCCTATTCAGATAATTTCGAAACAGTAATTATCTCAACTTTTGGAATTGTAATTTGATAATTATAATTAATTGTTTTAGTTGATCTTTAATTTTGTTATTTTTGAGGAATTGACCGGAGATGGAGCATCTGATTTTTTATTTTATTTTAAATTTATTTTTTTGGTTAGTTGTATTTGTTAATAATTAATTTTTTATTTATTTTCATTAATTTCGTTTAGTTTACTATGCATAGAAAAAATAATTTCGATTAAAAAAATAATTAATGAGAACTGTTGAGAGTAATTAATATGTTTAAAAAAATATGGAAACATTTTCATTTTCATTAACTCGTTATAATTGCAGAATTAATTGGTTGTCATTTTTAAAACACTCAACTTTTCAAGAAAATTGAGTTGTTTTTAATAAAGAAAATAAAAAATAAAAACAAATGAAAAGTAACGGAAATTGGCGGGAAAATGCCACCTAGGTATAATTTATGAGGTTTAATTAAATGCAGAAGAGCTAGTAATTATATATATATATATAGATTTGTGAAGATAAGTTCAACGTTACATATTCAATAAAAGTGCATAATTTTTAATCAATATCATTTGTATCAGCATTAGTTTGTTTATTTTTGTTTCTTATCCAATGTGAAAATACTCCATCTCTATCCTAACATTTTATTTTTTTGCATTATTATTATTATTATTATTATTATTATTATTATTATTATTATTGTGATAAAAAAATTAATTTAACACTGAAAGAAGTTCAAATGCAGAACCGAATCCCGCGTCACTTAGAAAAAGCAATAAATGTGAAGTCTTGAAGGATATCGTTTGACGCCACTTTTGGCTTTAGACATCAATGCATTTGCAACTAACTATAGCAAATAAAATGAAATCCTAATCTTTTTAGCCGTATGCACACAAAATTGCAAAGATTAGGCAAAAATAAAGGAAATTGGATGTAGTCAGACCAGCTTTGGTGGCTTTTATTTTGTTATTATGAAGTCATATATTGGTAAAGTTTAATCATAATTATTAAGCGAGTGACCAATTTTCAGTCATAATCTGTTTTAATTGTACAGCAAATAAGAGAGTTAACATAAAGTATAATTTGTAAATAATTCTATGGTAAATAATTGATAACTCAAGTTTACTATGCTATTGTGTGTATTTTGCCATAGTAATTATAAGCAAAACTACTGTGAGTCATATTAAGGGAAAATTTCAAAATTAGTCCCACAGGTATAGGGGGTGACAATTTTGGTTCTGATGGAATGCATAAAATATGAATAGTTCCACAACTATTAAAAAATGATCAAAAGTATGACTTTTTCGCCGGATTTACTATTTCCGGCCCGGAACACCACGTGACATCCTACGTGTTCATATTTTCTTACAAGTTGTGGGACTAGTTTTGAATTTTCTGCATTTCATCGGGACCAAAAATGTCACCCCTCTATATTTGTGGGACTAGTTTTAAATTTTTTCCTATGTACGTCGGATGCCAGCGTGCAAAATATAAGCCACGTGTGCGTCACGTGTACGCTACGTGGCGCTCCGGGCCGGAAATAGTAAATCCGGCTAAAAAGTCCTACTTTTGATCATTTTTTAAAAGCTGTGGGACTATTCATATTTTGTGCATTCTGTCGGGACCAAAATTGTCACCCCCTATGGGACTAATTTTGAAATTTTTCCTAATATATTGGTGGATAGAGTGAAAAGAGAACTGAACTCGGGCTTGTATATCTGAGTTCGAGATTGAGCAATTATCGAGCTGAGCTCATTATCAAAATGAGACGATAAACAAGCTCGAGTTCAATTCGTTAATCAATATTAACGTGTTGAACTCTAGTCTTAATGAGTCGAAGTAAACTAAAAAATTAAAAAAAAAATATATAAAAACGCATGTTATTTTAGCCTACAAAACATTAACGAGTTGAGTTCAACTCGTCAGCTAAATGCATAAACAAGGTTTAAACAAGCTCGAACAATAAATATGTTGAACTGAGCTCGAACTTAACAAGCTGAGTCGAGCTCATCAACTCACAAGCTATTCGATTCATTTAACATGTCTATTGATGGATAACAATCTCATATGTTAGCCAAAGTGTTGTATAACATTCAAATATTTTTCATCAAATTTAGATTGAAATTTTATTTTTCATTCTCCCGTGCTGAATTTAATGAGTACAAATTGCCCATCAATTTCTTGTTAGCCAAAAAGGTAAGGAATGGCGTATTACGTACATGTCGTGACAAATTACACTTTTCAATAACCTAATAAAATATTAATAATATATCTCCCTTCATAACTAATAATCTAAAAAATACAAGGAGGTGATGAAATTTGAGTTTAGAGGGTCCATATTAATAAGGTTTATCCTCCGGATATTGCTATGCAAATATAAGTGACTTTGAGATATGAGTTGACTTCGAATTCGTTTAATTAACGAAAAGAGTTAAAACACTTCAGAATAGGGGTTTCACATAATTGTTTGAACTTCCAACTTAATTCAATACGTTAAGGTTTGATTTTAACTCGTTAAAGTTTGATATATATATAAGCGAGTGAGAACTTATTTGTCGATTCATTTAGAATTTGACTCGATAAAAGTTAAGGCCGAGCTTAAATATTGTAAGATCGAACCTAACTCGATTCACTTAACAGCTCTAATCACCTACCCAACTACCATTATTTATGGGCTAAGTTTCAAAATATATAGATATTGGGTTTGTGATTAATCATGATGATGTTGCAATTGCAGCTTTTTGTTGTCATAGTAAATATAATTGGGTTACTAATTTTTATCAAACCAGACATTAGTACTTGTTTGGTTATTGAATGTTTTTGTACATGTTATTTCCTCAGTTTAACAATACTAGTACAAATCTCATGCGATGTACGGGTAAGAGATATTAATTAATATTTATAAA